CTTCCAAACCCTATAAAGTATCAGGTAAGCTTCTTACGTGGCAAGTGGAAGAGCCAGAATTCAACTAATTTAACTTTCCTCCTCCCTTGGCCTTTCATAGAACATATGCTGGCACAGAGTTTTTAAAAACTAAGCATAGCTTAACTCGAGAAGGGGAGGACTTAGGCGGTTCCAGCCCCTCCACCAAGCCCACCCAAGTTGTTTCATGAGCAAATGACCGCTGTATCTGAGGGCATCACAGCCTGTGAAAGAAATCAGGTTCTCCTTATCTCTCCCCAGTTAGCGACTTCCCTAAAACTCAAAGATCTATTCCTCCCAGCAAGTCCCCCAGAGGGTGGGCACTTGGAGCAATAGCCTCTATTTCCAAGATATAGCTTTGGTTCTCAAAACTTAGTGTAAAAAAAAAGAATAACCTAAGACGCTTTCCTATGTTCTTTCCCTCAGAGAGTCTGATTAAGTGGGTTGAGGGTGGAGCCCCAAATCACCATTTTTTAACCAGACTCTCTCAGTATTTCCAAGGTCAGTGGTATGCAAACTTGATTGACATTACACCCAGTATTTGAAACACAATCATCACTGCTATCGTAATTACATGGCTTCACTCGTATAAATGGATGGCTGGCCAATATGATTTGAGTAAATAATTTTGCCAACACTTCTTACCTGTTTTTAAAAGGTAAATGACTCTGTGCTGTGCGGTGTAATTTCATAAATATTGCCACAGTTTGATCAATGGCAATATCTTCAGGTCTAGAGATCTTTCTTCCTAGGATCTTTGAATATTTCATTTAGGTCAGTTAGTCTTTAAAAGGAGAAGATATTTTGTTATCACTAGTCAGTTCTAACGAAGCAAAGTGCTCGTGTACAAACTCCTACAAAAAAGAAAAATCACACTGAAATCATAGTTTGAATTGAGTCTCTTGCATTCTGTGCAGCACCCAAACTGTGAAGTTATGGGAAGTCTTAGAGATGTTCTATATACTAGATATTGAAACCAGAAGCCAAACAAATGAAGTGTCTTGCCCAGGAACATACAGACAGTTATAAAAACCAAGAGTCTCCTTGGCGAGGCTTCTCCCATTACTGTACCACCAAGCTCTGCACCCCGTCGTCCGACTCTTACGTTGTCCATCATCATAGACGCTGGGGGCATGCAGACATGCCTCCATCAGCGGACGGGCTTCAGCTACAGTCACTGTCAGTGCCGGTTCCCGAGCACAAATCACTTGAGAGTTGAACAGCTGGCCCTCAAAGTATGCCAAGAGTCAGACTAAGATAAATCATCTGGGGTGAAACCCTTGCTCTAGACAACACATAACTATGTCACCTGCCGGACTGTAAGAACTATCCTTTTCACCGAAGAGACGTTTAAAGCTACATCTACACGTAGCTATAAAGTTTGAGAAATTCGGGTGAAAAACAATTTCTGGAGGAAAGGGAAGTGTGTTGACCTACTGCTGCACACCAACCAGATGACTTGGTCAAGATTTTATAAATAGTGAACTCAAGACAGGTCTGCAGAGAACAACTATGTCCTGCTTCTGGGGTGTGTCGTTTACTTCCAGCCGCACTGCTTCCCAAACACATGTTTCTTGTTACTGATTTACCATCATGGGTACCAAGGAGGCAGGACTGTACGACTAACCTAAAGTTTGTTAAACTTCAATGTGGCAGTTAAAAGCAAAAATTCCTATTAGAAATCTGGCCTGAAATATACTTTGCAGGGATAGATCTACATATATATCCCCATGACTTGGTTTGTGCCAATCATATTGAAAATCTGATTTATGCATGTTTGTATTTAATGGGCCAAGTTCTGAATATGATTACAACCCCTCTGAGACCACAGCAGTAGTTAGTTCTTGGGTTTTACTTTGGGGACAGCACTTGAATGGCTTTTGCCTTGTTCAGCCATCAGCAGGTTATGGGCTTAGTATTCAGGATAGGGCTCTATGCACTAAGCAGCAAAGCATAGAAGGTACTTTGGGGAGATTTCCATCACACTTCATTTAGAAAACAGAGTTGTCTCCATTGGAGCTAAAGTTAATAGTTTGGATTTCTACAATTTTTTTTTTTAATATGGCTTTTGAACTGAAAACAGACAAAAGGCCTGATATATAACCCAGGTAAATAAAATCAATCAGACCGAAAGAGACCCAAAATATGTTTTATTTATGTGACAAGCTAGTGCTTTGACTACTAACTTTTAGGGCATCCAGAGAAAGACATTTGCAACCAGGAAAAGTATAGTTACAAGAATTCTCATTCGATGCTCACCATTAGCTACTGAAAAATGGCTTGATGGAGAGGGAATCCCTGCAGGCCTAGGTGTGTCCTCCGTTCCTGGCTAAATGACTGGTGTGGGTGTTCAGGGTCCTCAGACCCAGGAATCTTTGATTTTATACCTCATTCCCTTCTGGCATGGTGGCAGAGTGCCACCCCAGAAGCTAGTGTTTCTGTGTGGAGAGAGAACGCCCAGAAAGTCCAGTGTGCCATGCACCACATGCCTGGGCAAGAAAGTAGGTGTGTGTTGTGGCACAGTGCCAGGTCACCTGCCCCTGCAGCATTGGGGGGACCCCCCCACTAATGGCCCACCTGAGGTGGCCATCTGCTCACCACCAGCTGCCGTGGCCGCTGCATCAGCACAGGATGAACATCTCAGGTGCCCTCAGCAGCCGCTGAGCTGTGAGCTGCTGTCTCTCACCTAGGACTCTGTTCCTTTCCTTTCCTTGCTTAACTGCCTGTCCTTGAAAAAGAAAAGCAAAACAACTTCATTTTTTTTTTTTTTGAGGCTGCTGTGGCAGCTCCTAATAACTATTAATAATGACATGCAGGAGACCATTAAGATTAGTTTTGCTTGGCTTTTACTCACCAGCCTCTGTGACTGTCCAGGCTGGACTGCAGTGCAGGCTCTGAGAGCACAAAGCAGCACCCCCGCCCCCAGGAGAGTGGGTGAGCAAGCTGCCTACACTTTGCTCCCCCTGACAGAGAAAGAGCATTGTGTGAGAACCTGATTCAAAGTTCCTGAATGAAATGGACCCAGAAGAAAGGAAAACTTTAGCCTTCCTGGAGGGGCTGTATGGCATGGTAGAATAGGTTCTGACATCAAAGAGATTTGGCTTAAAAATCCTTGTCCTGTTGAGTGACACCCAGTCCGATGGTACTTCCCATCAATAGAATAATAACATCTACTCCATAAGGCTAAGAGGGTTGAATGAGACAATACACGTAACATGAATAGAGCACAGAGTAAGCAGTGTTTGCTTATTTATAAAATAGCAACTAAAACCTGTGTCCCACCACCGACAGAGGTCAGAGTCAGTGAGATGAGCTCTCAAGGCCTAACCAGTTCCCTTTCAGGGACAATGTGACGCTACAGGTTCAGTAGCCGCTCAGCAGCCTAAATAGCCTTCTCACTCATTGTAAAGCACAAGAATCTACAGGCTGATATAAACTGAGGTGCTCCATGCATCATCCCCATTGGAGATTTACCAAAGAAGGGTGGTGGCAACAGAATAGCCACCAAGGGGAGAAAGTAGTCCAGATATCATACAATTGCATGCATGCTCAGAGCACGCCAGGGGTCTCAAGAGGACCAGGGCACATGACACGTCACCTTGCAGTAACATCACACCCACCATGCCTGGCTTTGCAAATCTGAGTTCAATTTGAAAGTTATTAACATCTACTATGAAACTACCATGCATAGTATTTTTGCAAAGGTAGCTGAAAGGACTTTGATATCAGTAGGAGGCAATTGTATAGAAAAAAATTGAGCATCCTGCAAACTCTGCTTACATGGTACGAAAGGGAGCTATTTCAGATCCTGCCTCAACTTTTAGTAAACTGATCTAGCTGGCTTTATTTACATTATCTTTTCCAAACAACAAAGAGAACTCCTCTTACTTTGTACCATGAAACAAACATTTCACATATATTATCAGTTTAATAGCACTCTGAAGTATGTCACTAGCCCCTTTACAGATGAGGAAATTGAAGTTTAGGGAAGTTAAGGTAATCTGCCTGGGCCACACTTTCTATTGTGAAGGCAGGATTTGAGACAGGTGCTCTGAACTTGTGCTCTGCTTATTAAGGAGTACGAGTCACTCTTGTCCTACTCCCTGTATGTATCACAACTTTCCTGTCTTTAGAAAAAGATGCATTCAGGACTATTAGTGAAAGAACTTGGAAGATGGTCATTGGTACCCATAACCCAGCGAAAGGCAAGATGGCACAATGAACAAGCATTTTCCTTGAAGGCAGGTGAACCGAGTTCAAGCCCTGACATGCTTCTTCCTCACTGTGAGAAGTTGCACCCATTACTTCCCATCTCTAAGCCTAGCGTCCTCGCTATAAAGCTTCCTCCCCACATAGAATTATCACAATCGATGCAGTAGTACAGATGAGCCTGCTACCCTATTCATAAGGCCCTAGGCAAATGCCAGCTATTATTATAATTCAATTAGTTTCAGTGCCACTATTGAATTGGTCTTAAATCTTTGAAACTATCTCCTGACCCCTTAACTTTCTCATCTATAAACTAGATATGATGATACAGCATCTTTTAGTAATACCCTCCAGCAGCCGTTTTTAAACTTGAGTGACCTAGAATCTTTCAGCATGTTGTAAAGCCAGATCCCTAAGCCTTTTAATATTCCCTCTTAAGAAGAACCTCACAGATTCGGATGTAAATGGGCCATGAACACTGAAAAATGCTGTCCCATAAGTTCAATATTACAAAGAACTATGGTGTCTGTGCGTAAAGAACTTGACCACATCACTGGTAACACAGCCAGCACTGAGTCCTCAAGTCCTGAGATTTAGATCCTATTATTCTGACCACACCACTGGGACTCCCAAGAACATCACAGCCCTGTTGTGGTCACGAGGTTTCCACTGGGGGTTTGAATCTAGAGTACACAGCTGAAGCTTCCAGCACTCCACAGACATCTTTAAAAGGCTAATTTAAGTGCCATTGTCTTTTTGTTCTTCCTCCACAGACACATTTGCAAGCAAAGTGGCTGCTACCCAGGACCAGTATGCAGACGCGTCCATTGGTAACGTCACTGGCAGCAATGCGGTGAATGTCTTCCTGGGAATTGGTGTGGCCTGGTCCATCGCTGCCATCTACCACGCGGCCAATGGGGAACAGTTCAAAGTGTCCCCTGGCACGCTAGCTTTCTCTGTCACTCTCTTCACCATTTTTGCTTTCATCAATGTGGGGGTGCTGCTGTATCGGCGGAGGCCAGAAATCGGAGGTGAGCTGGGTGGGCCCCGGACTGCCAAGCTCCTCACATCCTGCCTCTTTGTGCTCCTGTGGCTCTTGTACATTTTCTTCTCCTCCCTGGAGGCCTACTGCCACATAAAAGGCTTCTAAAGGAACAATCAGATATAGTAAATTTATATATATATGCATATATATACATAAAAAATTATGTACAATGAACAGAGAAAACTGACATTTGTCATGTTCACTTACCTGCTGATGGAATCCAGCTTCAAGAGCATACTTACTAGGGCTGAAGTGAGAAACCATCACCTCCCATTCCCAGGGGCATCGTCACATTGAACAAGACATGGAGGCAGGGCCATCTCTGCAGCTCGGCCTAGAAGGGCTGTGTTCTCTCCAGGTTCATAAATCGTTAAGTCTTTGATTTGTTTTCTGTTCTGGCTTGTTTTTGATGGGGGTTGGGAGGTGGTTGATGTTTGCCTTTTATTTTGTTTTATTTTTGTTTTGTTCTGTTGGGAAGAGCGGGGTTTTTGCTTCTCTAGTGAGAGGTGATGACCAATCTAAATGCAGATGGATTTTCGGTAAATATTTAAGTCATTAAGATTACTCTCCTTCCCCCAAACACTTTTAAAAAGTTATTTTGGATTAAGAAAGGATATGGGCACAGAAGAAGAAAGAAGCATGTCTTCACTATGTTACTAAATCCAAGCTTATCTCTGGAACGTGAGCAGAGGTGAAGCTGTCTCCAAGAAGCAGCGTGGGAGCTGGAATGGAGCCAGGAAAATTGATGGTTCTAGATACCATCTGATATTTAAAGATATGATGCCTGGCACTCTTGTTCAACAGGTACAGGAATAACGTGCCTGGATTCCCAGGAACATGCAAAATCCTTCATTTCTTATCTCTTTAGCTCTGGATTGTGATCAGCAAGGCCCTTATTCTGGTGTTCCAGCCCAGCTAACTCCCCCCGCCCCCCCTCCCCTCCCCTCTCCTCCTGCCCACTAGTCCTCATGCAAACAGGAAGAATCACCCCATTGAAAAAGCATATCATCTTTTTCCATTTGCATCAATATGTGTCCCAGTCCCACGTTGCCGTTGCCTGGGATCATCTATTAGTTTTATTTTCACAAGCATCCATGGCTTGCACAATCCTGTTTCGGTCATGACTGAACATTTGCTCCTTCTTCATGTGCCTGTTTGGGAATGTTGTTGTGATACCTGTTACACAGTGCATGGAAGAAAACAAATAAAACAAAACAAAGCGTTATCTGTATATAGTAGAGTATAGCATATACTGTTCTCCCATTCAGCAATGTTAATTGGACATTGAAGACCTAAGTGAGTTTTCTTTTCACCTGAGTTGTAACTTTTGTGTTATTATTGAGTTCATGACTAGGGATAAAAGGAGAAAATGGCTTATTGTTCGTGGAGCTGCACATTTATTTCTAAGAAGCAATAACTGTCACATGGGAAGTTAAAGCTATTGAGAGGACAGCAGGCAAACTTCAAAGTAACTTACGGAAAATTAGCCATGTGGAACACACCAAAGGCCTCTAAAAATCACCTGTTGATTCAGGAAGGCCAAGGAGAAAGGTGTAGAGAAGTGGATGCATCAGACGTGCCTGGGCTTTGAGAGCCTCCATTTTCACAACACCCTGCCCCTAAAGTATTTATTTTCACATCTGCTCTGTCTGGCACAGATGGTAGATAGTGCTGGTTTGTTCATTTTATTTTTTTATGTAAAAGGCTATTTTGAGCCCTGTTTCTTCCACCATCCAGACCCCTCTGATTGTATCTGCAATCCCTGAGTAGGAAAGAAGCTAAGCTGACAATGGGTCTTTAAAAGTGAGTCTGAGTCTTCTCTATTTATGACTAAGGGATAAGCAATTAAATGAGATGAGTGCCTCCCGGGAGGATTGCACTGGGAGGTTTCTAACCTTGAAAAAGAAATGGCTCTTTCTATTTCAAAATACCAAAGAGCGTGGATAAACCCACATTCCAGAGTAGGGAGTCCGCTAATGAAGAAAATGGATGGACACTGGTCCCCTCTCAGAGACTATGTATAGATTCCCAGGCTGGAGACACCCCTAGCCCTCTGTATTGATTCAAAGATACTTAAGAAATAAAAACTCTTAGTTATTTTCTCTTCTTGCACTCATCAGTCCTGATCATTCATTATTTAATAAATATTTGGTGACTGGATGAATAATTAAATGCTAATTACCCACTCAATATGCCAGGTACCACGCTACCTCCTGGGGACTAAACCAGGAGTGAAACAGCCCAGACCCCTGCCCTCAGGGGGCTCACAGTTAATGTGATTGCTCTTGCCGTGAGTAAAAATCAGCCCAGCCACATGGAAACAGATTTATCTTGCAAGGAAAAACACAATTATGAAACTTTAAAAATAAACACACTGAATCTGTGCAAACACAATTGTTAAAATATCTAAGTTTTTTTTTTTTTAATTAAGAGACTATAAAGCATAGGCTAGAAATAGCATCCCAGGTGTCCTTGGCCAATATTGCAGGTAGGTACATCTCCTCATCTTAAACCAAGAAAAGGCGATACTGTTGGGATTCCATCTCACTGAGAAGGCCCAATGAATCCGTTTATACCTTGGTTTGACAATGATACTTTTCTGCGCCCCACCACTCTACAATCCTTCTTACATCCTGGAGACTTACTCCTAACCTGTCATGACCCCACACATTGGTGGCCTGACTCCTCTGGGGACATATTCTAGCTCCGCTTTTTGAAGACTTACTAAATGGAAAGCTAGCCTAGAAACACCAAGTAAATACTGTCAAGGGGTATGCATTTAAACTTTAGAAAGTTTTTGCACTCATTTTTAGCCATATATGAAATATCAGTGACCCCATACCAAATTGTTACAGAGGAGTTTTGAAAATTCTTGCCATTGGTCAATTTCAATTTCAAAGCTTTTGGGTTTGTTTGCTTTTTAAGTTTTTATGTGATAGGGAAAATATGATTCTGGTTGTTCAGGGTTTATTAATAATTATAGTTGTGTAAAATTATTTTATTTTGTTTGATTATTTTATTTTGTGTGTATTGTGCACAGCTTTAGGGGGAAATGCACTACTTGTGCTGTTCCTTATACATGGTACACATTATTGACACAGACAAATAAAGTTTCTAATGGTTTCTGACTTAATCACTAGTGATACAACATATTCTGTATGGAATGTTTTCTCTCTTCTCATTGTCATCTACTTCATTTTTTGTTTTCATGTTTTAAAGAAATAAAAACCCAAAAGATATTATTGTGCAATTGGTATCCTCATCCAAAAGAAAGAAAATAGCATTCAGCTCTTGCAAATGTCAACCCATTGATTATTCAGTGTTTCCTTTTTAATGTTCCAAGAGAGTCCAGTGTCAGAATATTACCTATCTAATAGTGTTGAGATAAATGTTGGGCATTTTTCCATTTTGTTAATCGTTTTCTTACATCATAGTTCCACTTTATCTACATCTATTCTGCATCTAAGAATATGAACCCCAAAACAGTTACACATCATGTCACTTTTTAGCATATCTATATTATAGCATAATATAGAGTATTACATCAAATCAATCCCAATACAATTGATCATCAGTAAAATTGTTGTCCTAGTTGTTTACTGTATACATGTAAATGATACTCTATTCACCTGACCATCTTTAAAACTCTTAGAATTCCTCATTATACTCATATATGGTCATGTGTGGAACACCTTCATATGTGAAGGAAATAAGGTATAATTTAAATATTTTCTTGAATCAACAACAAGTTTCCTGGGAACTAATCTTTGGTTTAACATAAAATGAGCAGCCAACGTTTACTTCTTTAAATGGCAAAAAGAGTAATTAAATGACCAGAGTAACCTTGACTGTTTAACAACCCTTCAGCAAAATGTCATGGCCCAATGATTCTCAACCTTTTATAAGCTAATTTTAATTCACTCAAAGATTCTAATTCAAGCCTGACACAAAGGAAGATTTTCTAGAGCTTTAGTTTCTGAGTTTAACAATACAAACAAACATACTAAGTTTTATTGCTTTTTAAAGAAAAATGATAAAATATGCCGTTTTAAGCAACCCTGAAGATATTCTGATAGGTGGCTGCCACCCACAATGAACATCCTTAATGCAGCACCTTTCCACCAGTGGCCTCTTTCCACCGGTGTTATTACTAGTAACAGCTCATGAGCCACACTGCCTTTCCACACAGGGCTTGATTCACTGTTGATTGCATAGCCCAGAGCCCCTGATCCTAAGCTGTCGAAATGAAGCGAGACTGACTTATTTGCTCTGAGAACATCTGAGAACTTTGTGGAAGCAACTAGAAAAATAACAAATTTCATCTGGCAGATAATAAAGCCCTCCATTCTCTAACGGTGACAAAATTTCACTTTCTCCAGAATGTAAACCAGCCCCTTTAAGATTTCAGTCAATGTTTCCTGACTCAAGATGTAGAGAATCTCTTTTGATTCTGGTTTTCTGTCTTCAATCTGGGGCCCTTACATCTGGAGCAAGTCTGAGGTATAGTTTCATAACTTCAAGAACATTTGACATTTCATGATTGACCATGTACATTATTGTATCTCACCCTGGCCTACAACTGGCATTTGGCTTTTGTTGCTGTAATCTCTTCACTGGGTCAAGACATTCTAGCTATTGGTAAAAAATAGCATTTCAGTCAATAAAGGAGTGCATTATATAGAAGAGACCGAAAAAATCCTATTTATCTTATGGAGAAAGAAAGGTGCTGTTATAAGTGGATTCATTGGCTTTCAGTCTAATCTACCTACAAACTTTTGGTAATAGATTGCATTTCTGCTCTTCGTTTTAAGCATTATGTCCTTATCACTTCTAGCCACATTCATTGTCTTCCACTCACCATATTTCAAGTATTGGGTGGTCCTGAGAGTATTTCATCGACAAGGATAACATAAGGGGAAGCGATTGTAAACTATATATTTCATTTTTGGTGCTTAATTAGGTCAGGATTAATCACCTCCCAAAGCAGACAATGCGTTATCTCTAGGAGGGGCAATGACGGTAACGTGGGTCGTTCAAGAGGGTGAGTGTGTCTCCTTTGCAGCCAACAGGAAACGGTGAGTATCTAGATTTCTGTGACTTGCCTCTGCCTGCCACAGTGTCAACAAAGATGCACTCAGAGGCTCTCTCGATTTTCAGGTATCAAAGGTCTTCTGACTCAGTCCCCTATGGGACATTCAAATTAGTAGTCATTGTATAAATTATTCATTTTACTTATTTATTTGTAGAGGAAAAAAAAGCATTACTTCATAACTTCAAAAAGAAACATGTCTTTTTTAGTTATAACTACGACCCACAGCTTTGCAGGAAGGCTTGCCCGCCCAGACATGCCTGGTCTGTCTGTCATCACTGCCGCACTTCACAGACAGACGCTTGACCTGCTCGTGTTCTTTAGAATCATGCAGTCCTAATTTTTTCAAAGGTCCAAAAACATGTCCCCTTGGGAATATTCAGTCTTAATCTTTCTTTTCCATGTTTTTAACTTTCGTAGTTTTTCCATGGCTACTTGGTATTTCATTATCCTTAGTAATGCTCACTCTCACTGCTCAGCAATGGAGAAAGGCTCATGGACATGTTTTTCTGAAAGTGAATTTGTCACAGGAAAGATTAAATATCATTTCACCTAGAAAAGAGTTGTTACATCAGTCATTATAACCTACAGCTACATGCTATAGCAGATTGTTGGTTTTATTCCTCTTTGGATCCCATTTTTCATGTTTCAGTGCCCATCTATCTAGCCTATTCTATCAGCATATGTGGGTATGGATCAAGGATAAGGATCCCACATACACCCCTAAAGGTGAAGTATGTAAACATAGAAAAACATTGTATATAGCTTCCATGCCTCCAAGAAATATGAATGGGTCAAATGCTTGTCTGTATACAAATGGTAGGAAACTTCACATTAATAATCAAACACACCGAAAGAGAAATTAGTTAACCTCAATGCTACTGAGTCAGTGTTGACAGTCAATGCAGAGCCCAGCACTCCTAACTGGTTGATGACAAAGACAGAGCTATCTAGCCAAATCCAAGAGTGTATTAGGGGGAGGGTAAAATTGATTTTCACCTCCTTTGTATTAGAAATTGTTTATTCACCTAGAAGGATTTGGCCCAGAGATTTTCAAAGACCTTTTTCTTACATTGCCAAATTGAAACAAACCACTTTTAATTCACAGAACTTGTTTTTCCATTTTTTAATTTTTTTATTAATTTTTTTCAATTACAGTTTACATTTAATAATCTTTTGTATTAGTTTCAGGTGTACAGCATAGTGGTTAGACAATCATATACTTTACAAAGTGTTCCCTCTGATATCTCCAGTACCCAACTGGCACCACACACAGTAATAATGTAATATTATTATTAAAATATTATTTTATTAGACCCCTTGAAGCCACATGGTAGGACAATAGATAAATTCTCTAAGGAGACTTTTCCTAAAAATGATTTTAAGTTTGTAATAAACCTTAGTCTAACGTGAATCTCCCAATCTTTCTAAGTGGAAGGAATAATTCTATGAAATAACCAAACACATAAACACTTTTTAAAATATTTCACCTGAAATAACTAAATTGCATAAATATTTAAAAGTGATGTGACCAATGCATCTAGTTTTGAGAAAAATTAATTTTTCTATAGGTACCTTCCTACCTTCTTTCATTCATCTTAACATTAAATTTTGAAAAATACTTTAAGGAAGAAATAAAAGATTTTACATTCTCATAATGCTCACATAATTGAATAATATTGCTAAAATAAAAATTTGGGTGAGAATTATTTATGTGATTGTCAAAAACATTTTAAAATGAGAGAAGTAACAAGAAGAAAATGCGTCAATATTTCATCACAGACTACCCTTGTCTGGGATATTTGAAACTCATTACCCTTAAGGAAGAGGATTACCATTTTCTAGCAACAACAGTACAACTGAAACTTGTATTGTCAGTTTTTTATGAGAAAAATCAAAGCTGGGCATACATAACTTTTGGCTTTGGAAACCAAAAAAAATGAAAAATGAAACTTTTGGCACACTTTTCCATATTACTGAGTTATTTTGTGGAATATACTGGATCTCATGACAATGCCTTCAATAATTCACTCTTTTTTTTAAGCCATGAAGTTTCTGATTTTCATAACCTAATACCTTGACAATTTCATTTATAAATGGTTGATTCCATTTTGATGTTTATAATTTAAAACTTCTTTTATTATTTAAAATAATCAATACATCAGATGGGATATTGAGTCTAACACAATTAAACAATAAAGCCCAGACAGACCTACCAGGAGTTAAAAGGCTTCTGAAACACTGGCCTTTTCATGCACACAAGTAGAACTGTTGTCTTCTATTTTCTTTCTACAAAAAAATTGGCTATTTCAAATAGTATAAAAACAAACAAAAAATAAATTTGAAATGCTATTTGAAAACTATTTCTATGAGAATCAGACACAGTCTCAGCATTAAATCTCCTCTATCCCATTGTCCCCTAGAGCATAGAGATGCATACATAATACAAAAATAGATGATGCATGTCAAATGACTTGAATTGCATTTTTGGATGTCTAGGATTGTCCTAAAAGCCCATGTCGTGTTAGCATTCCTTTTTATCAGATCCCCTTTTTTAAATGGAAAAAGGGGGAGAGATAGGGAAGAAAGCACATTCCTGATTTTTGTTTTTCTTTTTAGCTAAAGATGCAACTCAAAGTTGGAAATTACTTAAAATATTGTTAATTATATGTATTTTTTCTAAAAATTTAAGTAGATTTTTTTTAAAGTAGTTCATTTTCTTTCCTTCATTTAGCAAGGTTTTCTGATAAAAAGTTTTTAGGATCAATTAGGGGCCCTTTTTGATTTTTCCAATTACCCTCTCTGCCTTTTTGAAGGTAAAAAAATATCCTCATCAAGGTCAAATTGTGGGGGATTAAAAGGCTGAGATTTTGTATTTTCAGTGGCAGGCTTCCATACAGCAGCTGACATTATCTAGAAATGTATTTTGGCACATTGGGAGAAAAGGAATGGGAGTCCCACCCAGTTCTGCCAAAATACCTAATTGTCTACCACCGTGTAGCTCCTCCACTACCTGTAGTTCAGCTTAGATACTTTCAACTGAACCACTTCAACTTTCATGGTTATCTTGTCCCTAGTGGTTTCCTGTTAAGATCTTACAAACAAGCAAACTAGCCCTTTCAACCATTTGGTACATGGGATTCCTTCAAGGGGAAGGATGAGGAATGGGAACAGAAGGGGGCATAATGTTGATGCCAAGTCATCGAAGCGTATTTAACCAACTGCCTCATTATGTATTGGACTCCATTTGGGGCACTTACTACTGGAAAAACTGGAAAGACTTCACTTTACTGCAATTTCATCAAAATTGTTGTGGTATTGGATCTAAGCAAAGGATGACATCATGGAAACACAATTTTTAACAGCTACAATTATGATTGTTATAATTTGCAAGAAAATATTTCTTTGATATTTCGGTCTAAAACTCAGAACAACAGGTTTTTGCTGCCATCAGTCATCCTATAGGAAAACTGACACTGAATTTTCTTTGAGACGGACCATGCTTATAGTTAATGTGTGGATAAGACTTAAAATATTCTTGATATTCTCAGTTTGTTCTCACA